GGGCAGTCAGTCTCAGGAGCCCCGGTCGACGGGGGTGGGGGTGCGAGCGGGACCTTGCTGGGTCGGGGCTGGAGAGGAGGTCGGTCCCAAGGTGCTCCGGCTCAGCTCCCCCCCAAGAAGGGGAAACGTCCTGAACGGCGTGTGGACCACTCCGAGGATTCTCTGGACGCACTTGATGGGAGCTGGTGGAAAGGCCTGAGGACCAGACCGCGGCTACTCTGCGGGGTCTGGGAGTTGGGAAGGAAACGGGGAGGAGAGCCTGCAGACACGTGAGCACGCGCAGACACACATCTATCCCTTAAGTGGACACACCCTTTCAGGCTTACACTGCAGCGAGGAGGGAGAAATGGGTTGACTTCCTTCTTCCTTTGCCTGCCACTGAATCTCCCTCTCTCACACTCGCACCCAGCCATGTGGACCAGGTCTTGACTGTCAGATTGTTCTAAGTCTAACGCTATTTTCATGGCGAATTTTACTTTATCATTTCCGGATTACCTATGATTTGTGTGTGCATTATTTTTCTCACCAGGGGTTAAAAATACTGAAAATATTTGTGTAACACAGTTCTTCTTTTATATTGTACCGGTCATTTTCCCCGTACAACCCTTTTGGGGTCATAGACATCATAAAAATTGTGGCGCCTCTCTCCGGACACATGTCCTCCAGGAAGCACAAGATCTCTACTTTTTATCTTTATTGACTTTTTATGTGTCATCATTATTATGTATAAATAGTGAGTTAAAATCTCCCATTACAATGGTGTTTCTTCAAAAATACTTCTGACATTTCCTTTTTAAAGTTCTTTACATTTTTCTAATTACACTACATTTGTACTTCTCAATGAAACAGCACGGAAGTATTCAGAGTTAGAGCTGAAAGTACTCTTTTCTTTCTACTTCTTTCTTGTTAGAGTTAATTTGGTGTTTATCCCTCCATTCTTGTTTCCTTTTTTCTTTGGTCATTAATGGAACCATATTTAATTAAAAACAATATTTGATAATCCATAAATGGATTCTTTTGAAAAATTGCTTTTTTTTCTACCTAAGAAGATATGGAGAATATTATTCCTATCAGTTTACTTAGGTTTGCACTGAGTATTTCATGTATATCAATTTATGTCACCATTCCTCATTGAGATTGGTTCCAGGTTTTTCATATTACAAACAATGCAACAATGGACATTCTTATACATGGGAGCGGTTCTATAGAATAGAATTGCTAAGTCAGATGAATGTACATTTAAAAATTTTGATAGAATATTGCCTTCAAAAATATTTACCGATTTATCTTTTCATCGACAGACTGTAGTGAGAAAAAAACTTTTAAAAAATAATTTCAACAATCACTCATACATTTTATATATATATATATTTGTTTATGTTTTTAGTCAAAGTCTTTCTCTGTCACCCAGACTGAAGTACAGTGCCACAATCACAGCTCACTGCAACCTCAACCTCCTAGGCTCAGGCAGTCCTACCTCAGCCTTCTGAGAGGCTGGGACTACAGGCATGTGCCACCACACCCAGGTCATTTTAAAATATTTTTTTGTAGGGATGAGCTATCCTTATGTTGCCTAGGCTGGTCTCAAACTCCAGGGCTCTTGCCTCGGCCTCCCTGCATACTAAAATTACACTGTGTCCAGTCAACAATAGCTTCTGTTTACTGAGTGTTTATAACATGTCGGGCACGTGCTGAACACTTTACATACATCTTAAAATTTAACCCTCACAAACCTTTTGAGAGTCAAAAACACTATTCTTTTCTTCATCATCCTGTGGTTATGCAGCTATTGAAGGGCAAAGTCAAGATGAGAATCCAAGTTCATTTTACCCCAATGCCTGTGTTCTTTGCAGGGTCTGAGTCCCTTCTCAGTCATTGACAAGGAACTGTGTTTCACTAGGTTGACTGAAGATTAAATGAGATTGTATATTTTGTGTTAAATACACAGTGTTAAATCCTTTCTCTAGTAAATCCTGTAGAATTGGACATGGTCCAGCGCTTCCTGTGATGCTGGTTCCTTTGGACCATCTGCGTTTTCTTCATCTTCCTGCCTTGCATATATTTTAAAGAAATCTCTGGCTGTCTTCTCTCTATCAAATATCCTTTGCCAACTTTATTGCAATTTCCACCCTTATTTCTCACCCGCAAATAGAGAACTCTTAATAGTTTCATCTCCAAACCAAACATAGCCCTCAATCCTACTGCTTAGATCCAGGTAACGTATCTCCACCAGATGTCCTATACTCATTTTACCGAAAATGGAACGCCTTGCTGCCCTCCGCCACTAGACTATCATGTTCTCTTGAATTTAATTCATGGTTCCATAATTCTCTTAGATACTCCACAGCCTCCGTCATCTTTGGCTCCTATTTCTTTGCCGAACCTTCCAAATCCAAGCAATCATCAATCTTGAATTCTCACTACTACTACTCTCATTTAAGCATTCCAGACTATGATGACAGCCTTCTAACATCTCTCTTTGGCGCCAGTCACTGCCATATTAATTTTCCTAAAGCACAGCTGTGAATCTATGCCACCAATGTTCAAAAACCTTCAGTGGTTTTTGCGCAAAGAACAAAATACAAACCACTATGCTCAATATCCAGATTTATCGTTTTATTATTTCTCCCACAATGCCTTTAATCTGAACCCCTCCCTCTGGGCAAACTAAAATATTTATATTCTATTCTCCATGATATCTTTCCTATCTATATCTTTTTCTGGAATGCCTCTATCTGCATTTCTGCCTGACTAAACCCTATTTATTTATTTATTTATTTTGATTTTTATTTATTTATTTATTTATTTATTTATTTTGAGTTGGAGTCTCACTCCGCAGCCTCAACCTGCTGGGCTCCGGCGATTCTTCCACCTCAGCCTTCCAAGTAGCTGGAACTACAGGTGCGCACTACCACGCCCAGCTCATTTTTT